TCTATTGTATGCCTCCCCCACCCTTGTGTTTTGGAAGCACCTAACTTGTTTGGTTTCACAGGTTCACAGCTGGAGAGGAATTTGTCTCAGGAAGAATCATATTCTGAGTCTCACCCATGCCTGATTTAGGTGATATTTACATGAGACTTTGGACTTAGACTGTAGAGTGATGCTGGAATGCGTTAAGACTTTGGGGGCTGTTGGGATGGAATGCATGCATTTTGCATGTGAGAAGGACATGGACTTTGGAGGACCAGGGGCAGAAGGCTACAGACTGAATGTTTGTGTCCCCTCAAAATGCATATGTTGAAACCAATCCCCAAGATGTTTGATTTGGAGGTGGAGCCTCTGGAAGGTAATTAGGTCATGAGGGTGAATTTGTCATGAATGGGATTAGTTCCCTTACAAAAGTGACCTCAGAGGGCTCCCTTGCCCTTTGATGGAAGACAGCGTGAGAAGACTGCCATCTATGAAGGAGGAAATAAAGCTCTCACTTGATGAAGAATCTTGTGAACACCTGGACCTTGGACTTCCCAGCCACCAGAACTGTGAGAAATAAATTTCTATTGTTTATGAGCCACCTAGCCTATGATACTCTGTTATAGCAGCCTGTTAAACAAAAATTCAACCAAGTTTGAAGATCTAACTAGCTTTATTAAGTGACTTGTGCATGGGGCAACATCCCATCCAGCAAGTAGAGGGGACCTCTGAGGAGTTGTACAAAATGGAAGGTTTTCATAGGAAGGAGAGTGGGTCAAGAAAGTTATTAGCAAAAGAAAAGATAGGCTTGTTCCAAGCAAGGTCACCTTCCCTTAGGTGGAAGGACAAGGGGTCTTTTAGGTGGATTACCTCATCTTCCTTTGGGGGATGTAGAGGGTTCATGTGACACATTACCCTATTGGTACTGATCAGAAAATTCCTGGTTGACAGGTTAAGACTTAACATTTCTGGGGGAGGGTTAAACTGCAATTACGTTAGCCCTGGTTTGTTGACTTGGCCTGGCCCAAGTGCTGGGTTTTTGTGTTGAACAAGCCTAAACTGAGGCACCTGGCTGGCTCAGTCAGAAGAGCATGCAGTGCTTGATCTCAGGGTTGTGAGTTCAAACCCCACGTGGGGTGTAAAGATTACATAAATAAATTTAAAAAAAAACTAAACTGACTAAAACACCAATCCAGGACAAACTTTGAAGGAGTTCAGACCTTGTTGGAGAACGTGTGTGTCTACCACCAGTAGAGCAGAAAAGTTGGCTACTTTGGCCAGACTTGAGCTGGTCTGAAGTTGCAAACAGGCAACTCTTTGGAGTGGAGGTAGAGGTAAGTGATCAGCAGCTGACAGTGTGGGCATGCAGTGGGAATCTGGGCGCTGAGGAGGAGAACAAAGGCAAAAGAAATGAGATAAAATTAAATTTCCTTACAATTTGCAGCCCATTGATAAATACCCGAGACAGGCGGAGTATGACAATCAGGCGGTAAGTGATCAGCAGCTGACAGTGTGGGCATGCAGTGGGAATCTGGGCGCTGAGGAGGAGAACAAAGGCAAAAGAAATGAGATAAAATTAAATTTCCTTACAATTTGCAGCCCATTGATAAATACCCGAGACAGGCGGAGTATGACAATCAGGCAGAGTATGACAATCGTCAAGAAGGTCACAACTGCCTTCATGTTAATGCTTTGCTACAGGCAAAGAGCAACCTTAGCTTGACGATATCCAGACCTCCAGAATCCAGTAAGTCTTCTTTAACATACAAAAATCCTTTTGGAAACTTCCTTGATCTCTACACCCCCACCCCCAACTTAAAAGTATCTACTTAATTGCTCCTCACAATCCCAGTGCAGCTCTTCCTGCCCACCGTCCTGTCCCCCATGCTTTAATAAAAACACCTTTTTGCACTGAAAATGTCTCAAGGATTCTTTCTTGATGGCCACTCCCAGCCCAGAGCACATCAGGCGCCAGCAGGGGCAAAAGGCCCTCAGACCACAGGCGTTATGAACGACTCTTCCTGGTCCCTTGTACAGCAGGTGGGTTTTGCAGGGCCAAGGAATGTGCGGTGGGGGGTTGCAGAGTAGGAGATCTGTGCTGAGAGGGCTGTGGGCAGGTTTTTGCCAGGCTGAGGCTGCAAGGTCACAGAGAGATGGTGTTCTGGACCTGAGACTCGGGCAGGTTCCACTGTATGTCCTCAAAACCCACAGGGAAGACTCCTTCTTTCCCCTACACCAGAAATTGTAGGAAGCATCGTCCTCCTGGCATGTGCCTCCAGTGAGTGAGTGCCCTCTACTGAGAAATCTTAACATTACGCTCACTTCAAAGGAGAAATGCTTGAAGGAAGTTGGCTGTTGATCATAAAGTATATATTGAAGAGTGCGTTCACAGCTGAGAGGCAACAAATTGATAAGTGACACATTGATGTAAAACATCTAGCGATAATAATACAAAGGGGAAAGCTTTCTACATTCCACATGAAGTTTTATTATTTTTTTTAAAAGATTTTATTTATTTACATGCCAGAGAGAGAGAGCACAAGCAGGGGTAGCGGCAGGCAGAGGGAGAGGGAGAAGCAGGCTCCCTGATGAGCAGGGAGCCAGATGCGGGACTCAATCCCAGGATCCTGGAATCATGACCTGAGCCGAAGGCAGATGCTTAACCGACTGAGCCACCCAGGGGTCCCTCACATGAAATTTTAAAATATGAATTCTAATCAGTCCCTGAAAAGTTAATATATATTTAAATCACAGAGATACCACTAAAAATATATATTAAAAGGGATATAGTAAACAACGTATTTAGACAAAATAATGCTGAAAATATTTAAATAATTGAAAAGAAGGCAGGAGAAAGAGAGAAAAAACAGAGGAGACAATCAGAAAAGTAATAATCGGGGTGCCTGCGTGGCTCAGCGGTTAAGCGTCTGCCTTCTGCTCAGGTCATGATCCCAGGGGCCTGGGATCGAGCCCCACGTCGGGGTCCCCGCTCAGTGGGGAGTCTGCTTCTCCCTCTGCCCCTGGCCTTGCTTGTGCCCTCTCTTAAATAAATAAATAAAATCTTTAATTAAAAAAGTAATAAATTATAAGACATAAATCCAAATATTAATAATTACATTAAATGTAAATATCCTACAAATTTTAGTATTATTGGTGATAGTTCTGTGAAAAATGCTGTTGGTATTTTGCTAGGGATTACATTAACTCTGTAGATTGCTTTGTGTAGTATAGACATTTTAACAATATTTGTTCTTCCAATCCGTGAGCATGGAATATCGTTCCATTTGTGTTGATGAGGAGGAGAAGGCAAGCTGAGGGCAAAGCACAGGCTAACACCCCCTCCTCCCTCCCACCCAAGGTGGGATGTGTGTGACATTCCTCAGGCACTCCTGGCTGCCTGAGAACAAAGGAAAGAGAAAACCAAATGGTTAACTGGTGGAAATCACAGTCATGCAGGACGAGTCTCCATCAGTTTGCAACTGTCTTAATGATTTACAAGGAAAAAAAAAAAGCAATCTCCAGAAACCTATAGACTCAATTTCCTGGAGCCCTATCATCACCCTCCTCTCCATAGGATAGAAAATCTTATATAATCAGTCAATCCTCACAACCCCAGTGCAGCTCTTTCTGCCCATGGCTCCTGTCTGCATGCTTTAATATAACCACCTTTTTGCACCAAGGAGGCCTCAAGAATTCCTTCTTGGTCATCGGCTCCGGACCCCACAACTCCAAACCACATCATCAGGGTGGAGGAATGTTGTACCTACATTCCAATAGACTCACTGGGATCTTTAACATTACTAAAAATATCAGAGAAACAAACAAGCAAATCAATATATTTGGTATTTTTGCTAGTGCCCCAACATCCGACATCTGCATGCTTTTCAGATTAGAAATGGGATCTGCTCTTTTCGTTTAACTAGGGTAAACTTGGCTCCTGACTTACAAGTGTACTACACATTCTATCATCATTCTTCCAGCATTTGTCTGTATTACAGTGTTCAAATGTGGGACCTCCGGAGTCTTGAATACTGGTATGCAGCCACTGTCCTGCCTGATGATCCAACACTAAGCTGCTGTTGAAGCAATGTGAAGAATGCACGTTTATCCAACCACAAACTGTGTTCTCCAAACCATCATTAGATGAGTGGAAGCCAGACAATGGTTAAGATCTGAATTTCACAGAATAATGTTCTATGGTTGACCTCACCTGCCCTTGGCTAAAAGGAAGAGTAAGAGTGAAAACCTCTCTGGGATAGAAAGACTGAAAATCAGCTCAGAGTGAGAAAGAAAAAGGCAGCCTTGCTATTAATTGGGCTGGGGTGACGGGCACAGATAAAGACAAGTGCAAAGTTAACTAACAGGAAATATTGTTTCTCCCAGTCATACCGGAGCTGTAAAATACCAAAAAGACACCATCTTCCCGTTACTACTGCTTTCTTATCAATGATCCCAGAGCCACTTTGCTATTTTCATCTATTACTGGGGACTTCCAACTGCTGAGATGCCCCTGCCATTACATACATAGGGGTGAACCCACGTCCCCATCCCGCACATACTCCAGCCTCACTCCTGCCTTGGATTCCACCCGTGCGTCCCGCCTTCTCTATTTGAAATCCACTGAATCCCGCCCCGCTGCCAGGCACGCTCCGAGCCCATAGGATCCGCACACAACTCTCACAGTCGCCATTGGTCCTAGCCCTACTCGAACACTAATCTAGAGTCCTCCGCCATCCCGTCGAATTCTATAAAGCACGGCCCTGCTCCTCTCCCCATTGGCCAGTTTGGTTCCACCCAGGTTCGCCCCATCCACACGGTAAAGGCAGTGCTCAGGGGTACCGGAGCAGTGAGAGTCTCAGGTGCGAGTCTATTCTCGGGACTAAGAAGGCTACAACTTGGGCGGTCTTTCTACGTGGAGGGCGGGGCATGCGAGGAGATCTACACGGTGGGCGAAACCGGGGAGGCGTTCCACGTGAAGGGAGGGGGTGTGTGGGGTGGTCTACGTTGTGGGCGGAGCGAGCATGACGTTCCACGTGAAGGGCGGGACGGTCAACGTGGTGGGAGGGGCGTGTGGAACGCTCTACGTGGTGGGAGGGGCATGTGGGTGGTTCTACTTTGGGGACGGCGTGTGTGTGGTGGAGGAGTTCTACGTGCGGGCGGAGCGAGCGGGACGTGTGAGCGATCTAACGTGGTGGACGGGGCCTGTGAAGTCGTTCTGCGTGTGGGTGGGGCGAGTGGCGCGCTCTACGTGGTGGGCGGGGCGAATGGGCCGCTCTACGTGGTGGGCGGGACATGTGGGTGGTTCCACGTAGGGGGTGGGGGCGTTTTACGTGTGGGCGGAGCGAGAGGGGCATTTTACGAAGGGGCGGGGCCAGAGGGGCATTCTACGTGGAGGGTGGGGCGTAGGGGCGGTCAACGTAGCGCGTGGGGCTGTGAAGTCGTTCGACGTGGTGGGCGGGACGAATGGCCCGCTCTACGTGTTGGGCGGGACATGTGGGTCTACGTGGAGAGCGTTCTACGTGAGGGCGGGGCGAATGCGGCGGTCTAACGTGGTGGGCGGGACATGTGGGTGGTTCTACGTGGCGGGGGGGTGGGGGGGGGTCAGTTACATGTGGGCGGGGCAAGCGGGGCATTTTTACGTGGAAGGCGGGGCGTGTGGGGCGGTCTACCGTAGTGGGCAAGGCGTGTAAAGATGTACGTGTGGGCGGGGCGAGTGGCGCGCTCTACTTGGTGGGCAGGACCTGTGAGTTCTACGTGGAGGGTGGGGTGTGGGGCGTTCTACGTGAGGGCGGGGCGTGTAGGGGAGGTGTCTGTGGAAGAAGCTTCGTTCAGAGAATTCTACGTGGAGGGCGGGGCGTCACGTAAGGGGCGGGAAGTCCAAGGGCATTCTAACGGGGGTGGGGCCTTCATAGGCTCCCCACAGGCCCCACACGCCCCGTCCACTACGGTTTCTCGCAACCCACCAAACCGGTAGGGGGCTTCCTGAGCCCAAGCTGAACTTGGGCTTCCTTGTGGGCGTGTCTTTCGGGGCGGGAGCTGCACCTACTTGCGCGGCGGTTGCGGCTTTACTTGGCCTTTGAGTTCGAGCTGTGGACAGACCGAGTCGCTGAAGTTTGTGGTTTGTGTAAACTTGGCTGCTTTGTTGTTTTCTTTTCCTATCCGTGCATCAGAAGATGGTAACTGTAGCTACCTCGTGACTGGTGCAGAGCGTTCCAAGCTAGGCTGTGAGCGTACTAAAACGGAATGGTGAGTTTTCTAGGGCAAGAAAGGGGCAACCGGATTCGGGGCATGTAGGCAGGTGCTAACAGAAATAATATCTACAGTTAACGTTCAGCCCTTAGATGCTAGCACTGTGCTAAGTGCTTTACTTTCTTCAGTTTTTTTTTTTTAATCTGCTAAAAAGGTACCAAGTGAGTACTATCATTATCCACATTTTATCAGTCCCAGGAGGGCGATGCATGACACAATCTTCCAGGTGCTGGGCCTCTGCTGAGCTCTTTCCCTTCCTATGTCACGGCCTCTTGCTTGCACTCTTGGGATGGTGGAGTGCTCTCCCAAAGGATGGACTTGTTTTGACACTGTGGCAGTTCCTCCTGCGGCTGTGAAGGGGGTGGCCTGGCAGTGGGGACTGCACAAGAACAAGAGCCGCATGAACTACAAGGTCAGCCAGACCTGGTGGTACGCCCATGATACAGTAAGGCCACAATACATCGGCCCCTCCCAGGCCCAACTCAGACCCACCATAGAGCACTGTGTGGACCTTCAACATTTACCTGTGTTATTTCATTTTCTGACCTGTCCTGGACCCAGAAAATGAATGCACTGAGCACTCCCCCTCACACTATCAATTCTATTAACTTTGTTTTTCTTGATTTTGGACTTACCCCAACTCTTGTCAACACACTTGGGGTGGGGATCTGGGGTCAAGTCAGAAGTCCCCCTCTAAAAAAAAGTCACCTCCTACCCCTGCCTTCCTAGGGACCTGGTGGCTGTCAGGTCCTGTGCCCCTCAGGGATTCCGCTAGGCGTCTGGGCTGGATTTTCACTGGTCTCAGCTGGGTCTGCGCCCACCCTGCTGCTTTCCAGAAATCTGTTGTGCTTTCATGACATCTATTCCCTTTGTCCACATGGTGAGTTTATACATTGAAAAGAGCATTCATTTACAGTTAATTTTGTGTCTTAGGAAAAAACGAATTTAGATGATTGTGGTCAGTCCACCACATTTAATTAGAAAATTCACCTTGTGTTCTCATACTTTAAAATATGTTTCCTTTCTCATTCCTGATTCTGTTTGTTTTCATCTTAATTTTATCTTAATCAGATTTGAGGGGTCTATAGACTCCTTTCAGTGGTGTTTTGGTTTTGAGACAGGGAAACTAAAGACCTATTACCTTAAATCCTCCCTTGCAGACTCTTCATTCCCAGGTGTTTGCAGTTACCAACCATGTTTATCCAGCACCTGTGCCCTGTTCCTCCTGATGTGACCACCTGGAAATGCCTTTTCCCAATCAGCCTGAGGGACACGATGCACCTTTCAAAACCGCTCTTCCACAGCTTCACAGCGTGTAAGTGTCGAGGTTTCCTGGTGTTGCAGGGCTGCAGGGTTCTTGTCTCACGGAGTCCAAGAATAAACCTCGCGGAGGACAGGGTAAAATGAAGTGAAAGCTTATTAAGTGAAGGTAAGAACAGAAAGGGGAAAAAACTCTCTAGAGTTGAGAGGGGTCCTGAATGGGTTGCCACTGAGGGCTTTTATGGTCCACCAGGGAACTTGGTAACTATCTTGTCTATAACATTTAAGACAAACAAGGTGGATTAGTAAATATTCCGAAAATAGCAAGGTGGATTTGTTATGCTCTTTTCTCTCTGGTTAATATCTTGTCTATAACATATCTCTACATCTGGGATTTCTGTGAGCCTGGTTATGTAGCCTCCTCCCTGTCTCTCCCTACCTAACCTCGCCTGTCCCTTACTCACTGGCTATAAACCCCTTGAGGACAGGAAATGTGTATTCTGCATTTCTGTGCCCCCAAACACCCAGGAAAACCCCAGCTATATAACAGGAGTTCAAAAAAGTTTTGTTCTGGGGCAACTGGATGGCTCAGTCGTTACACGTCTGCCTTCAGCTCAGGTCATGAGCCCAGGGTCCTGGGATCGGGCTCCCCCTGCTTGTGTTCTTTCTCCTCTCTCACTCTCTCTCACTGTGCCTGTCAAATAAATAAAATCTTAAAAAAAAAAAAAAAAACCCAAAGTTTTCTATGAATACTCAGTGGTGTGGGATTCGTTATTTTTTTTTTAATTGGGAAGCTTTAATACAGTGGATAATTTGCTATAAGCATCTGTTGTGCGGTCGGTTTTGCAAGTAGATATATACAAGGGCATAAATAATTGCATAGCATGATGAATTTCGCAAATAAAAACATCCACGTACCCGTTATTCATTTCAGGGAACAGAACCTATCCTGTGTCAAAGCCCTCTAGCCAAAGACCACCAGAGACCCAAGTGTGGTTGAGCATGTTGGATTTATTACTCAGTGCAGTAAGGGAGAATGCACACAGTGTGGTGTCTCAGTAAGGGGGTGTTATAAAAGACTTGCAGGATGCGGGCCTCTGGTAGGTGATTTGGGGGGAGGATTGGAGAAGCCAATGTGGATCTAGATTGGGTGCTGGCAGGAAGCAGGGGTATTGGAAACATGGTGGAGGGAATGAAGAGAGACTAAAACTAATTGGTAGAGAAGCACGGGTCACTGATATGAGCGGACAAAGGGGGGTGTTTGATCATTTCTTGTGGTTTGGACAAGGTTTATGTCTTTGTGGTCAGCCATGATGAGAGATTTTGTCTTGATCCGTCACAGTCATAGAGTGACTTGGTCTGTTTTTCTTCTATGAGATTATTCCGGTTCAACAGGTGAACACCAAGGCGCAGCTGTGTCAGGCCAGCTCCCTGGCCTCCGTGGCTGCCCCGTTCTCACCAGCATCCCAGAATTTGCCTCCTGTCTACCACCAGTGACCGCACCCCCTCAAAGGTAACCATTATCCTGCGTTCTCTCAGGCTAGCTTAGTTGTGTCTGTGTTTGAACTTTAAATGGTATCATGTGGTATGTGCTCTTTTTAAGTCAGCCTTTCAGCCAGCATTTTTATCTGGCTTTATCTTTATGAGATATCTTTTTTATTGTTAATCACCATACATTACGTCATTAGTTTTTGATGTAGTGTTCCATGGTTCATTGTTTGTGTATAACACCCAGTGCTCCATGCAGTACGTGCCCTCCTTAATACCCATCACCGGACTAACCCCTCCCCTCTAGAACCCTCAGTTTGTTTCTCAGAGTCCATCGTCTCTCATGGTTCGTCTCTCCCTCCGAGAGAGATATTTATGAGATTCACCCACATTGTTGCATCTACCTGTAGTTCATTTCCATTACTTTCGAGTATTCCATTCTCTAGATGTACCATAGGACCTTCATCCATTCTACTACGGACTGACCTTTTTTCTTGAGGTGTAATTGACATCACCCTTTATCAGTCGCAGGTGTATCGCATAGTGATTTGACCTTTGCCTACATTGCGAAATGGTCACAATAAGTCTAGTTAACATCCGTTACCATCCACAGTTGCAAAAAATTCTTGTGATGAAAACTTTGAAGATCTACTCTGGCAACTTTCAAATATGAATTCTTTATGTATTTCAGATATTAGCCCCTTATCAAACATATGAGTTGCAAATATTTTCTCCCCTTCAGTAGGTTGCCTTTCCATTTTGTTGATGGTTTCTTTTGCTGTGCGGAAGCATTTCAGTGTGATGTCCCACTTGTTTGGTTTTGCTTTTGTTGTCTTTTGCAATCAGGCATTGGGGTGGCCACACTGAGTTCTGTTTGCTTGTGAGTTGTGCATACCTGTGACATATGCTAATCTCCAGCGCATTCGGTGGCATGGAAATGGGGGCAGGTTCAAAGTTAACCAGATTCTTCTGCCCCCATTTATTCCAAAAAAAAAAAAATTTTTTTTTTTTGGCTGGGGCAGAGATTATCAAAATGGGAGAACCCCAGTGCAGGAAGGTACATTTCAAGAGAGAGGACCCCTGGGTTATGCTGAGTGAAATAAGTCAGTCAGAGAAAGACATGTATCATATGACCTCACTGATATGAGGAATTCTTAATCTCAGGAAACAAACTGAGGGTTGCTGGAGTGGAGGGGGGTGGGAGGGATTGGGTGGCTGGGTGATAGACATCGGGCAGGGTATGTGCTATGGTGAGCACTGTGAATTGTACAAGACTGATGAATCACGGATCTGTACTTCTGAAACAAATAATGCAATATATGTTAAGAAAAAAAAGAAGAAGAAGAGAGCAGGAGGGGAAGAATGAAGGGGAGTAAGTCGGAGGGGGAGACGAACCATTAGAGACGATGGACTCTGAAAAACAAACTGAGGGTTCTAGAGGGGAGGGGGGTGGGGGGATGGGTTAGCCTGGTGATGGGTATTAAAGAGGGCACATTCTGTGTGGAGCACTGGGTGTTATGCACAAACAATGAATCATGGAACACTGCATCAAAAACTAATGATGTAATGTATGGTGGTTAACAATAAAAAAATTATTAAAAAAAAAAAAAAAAAAAAGAGAGAGGACCCCTGGTTCAGCTGCCCCTCCGCACCAAGGATTTCTTCCTGAGTGAAACCCTGAAGGACCTAGGGTGTGAGGAGACAAATTCCGTCACAGATGGACTGCAAAAAAAGAAACCGACTACTCTTTACAAATGGATATCTCATTTTATTCTGTTTGTTCTAGAGGGCAATGGTTACTTGGGTCGAATGTGTGGAGAAGTTATTTTATTTGAAATGTGTATACCCCAAATAATGCTGCTCGTGTAATATAGGCTTGACAGAGGCAGAAACCAGGGGCATGCCGTCAGTACCAAATATTCCCTTTATAGCCAACATTAGCCGTAGTGGGGGGGGGCAGTGCAGGAGCCCATAAAGGGGCCCAACGGTGTCTACCCCACTCATACAAAAAAGAAAAAGCAAGATTTTTAAAAAAGATTTTATTTGAGAGCGAGAGAGAATGAGCGGGGTCGGGAGGGAGGGGCGGGGGGGGGGGAAGAGAGAGAAGCAGACTTCCTGCTGAGCAAGGAGCCCAATGCGGGGCTTGATCCCAGGACCCTGGGATCACGACCTAAGCCAAAGGCTTAACCGACTGAGCCACCCAGGCACCCCAAGGGCAAGATTTTTTTTCTACACAAGTAGAAGCCTTTCATCTGTTCAGCACCTATTTTGTCTCCTGCTCTGTACAGACCCATGTCCTGAACAGCGAGCTCCGCTTTCCCTTTCACCGGGTCAGAGTCTTTCATTGCCTGCTTCCCTCACCTACCCCTGGCATCTTGATGTGGGACAGGCCAGAGTGACAGCATTTCCTGCATCTGGGTCTCAGCTGGAAAATGGAAATTTCTGCCTGAGGCTGTTACACCAAGTAAGAGTTACTGCAGCTTTCGCTGAACAGAGACTGCCATCCATTCTCCATGCCGGTGTGGTTCACCCAGCCAGAGGTCCCAGGGGCCCACAAGAGCCTGCGCCCCCAATTTAAGTCTCTTCGGTGCTGGGCAGAGTGGCTGCAGGAATGGTTGCAGACGGGCAGGAACGGTGGTGGGGCACACAGGAAGGGCTGGGGGGTGTGCAGCAGAGGTTTCTCTGGCTGGGGCGGGCAGGGCTGGATGACCCCTCAGGGAATGGACCCCAAGAGGCCCTCCGAGTGAAGGGAGTGGAAGAGGGTGCTTCTCCATGCTCAGCAGCAGAGAGAGGCTTGACCGTGACCTGGAGGCCAGGTGGAAGGCTGCTGCGGGGGTGGGGGGGGGGTGGCAGCTGGGCTCTTCCAAAGGAGTCCTGAGCGGTGTCCCATCTCCCCAGCTGGCTCTGCCAGGCTGCCAGGGTGTGGAAGACGTTGGGCTCTGCCTTCCTGTGGAAAGGAGACAAAGTGGGATCGGTGGGGTCTAGGGTCAGGGTGATGGCCTTTTTGTTTGGGTGAGCCGGAGGGAGGAGGTAGTAAGAGGAAGTGTCCTGAGTCATTGTCATGTTCTGGGTGGGCATAGTCCAGGACCTGTGCGCTGTCTCACACAAAGAGAGATGTCTCAATAGGCCTGTAGGGAGCAGGGAAATGCTTCGTAGTGCCCCGGATGAATTTCGGGGCAGTAGCCCTCCTAGCAGGCTGGGATGGTTAATGAAGATGAGCCAGGCGACCCACTCAGCTGCAACAGCTTCGTCTTTAGAATGATGCTAACCTGCTTGTCTCATAGACACAGGACTGCAGAGAGTGTGAAATAAGATAGGGTCACTCAAAGTGTAGGAACAAGGACCGATATCATGTGCAAGTAAGGGGATCGTCTTCAATAAAGAGAGCCTAGCCAGATTGGAAAGATTCCAGAAATATCGCTCTAATTCCTAAGGATCCCATACCCCAAAGGAACTAACCAGTTAATTTTCCTTTTATTTACAAATAGTTTCAAACTTAGAGATGATTTCCATAAACAAAACAGGGAATTCCTATATGCCGTTCAACCAGATTCAACAGCTGTTAAT